CTTGTTTACATGTTGTTGTATAGTTAATAATGCTGGTAGTATTACCTTGTTTACCTCTAGTTCTATAGTTAATAATGCTGGTAGTATTACCTTGTTTACCTCTAGTTCTATAGTTAATAATGCTGGTAGTATTACCTTGTTTACCTCTAGTTCTATAGTTAATAATGCTGGTGGTATTACCTTGTTTACCTTTAGTTCTACAGTTAATAATGTCGGTTTTCTCATCTTTTCCAGATGTCTCCAAGTAATCAACTGATCTCGCCAAGACTACACACTCTAACCCTACCAGGAACTGAAGTTGTTGACACTGATGACAGAAATTGTTCTGGTGCTACACCTAGGTAATTCAAAATCTGTGTTGTGAAATAGGAAACCCTCTCGGTCACACGCAAGTGTTGTGAAAGAGGAAACCCTCTCGGTCACACGCAAGTGTTGTGAAAGAGGAAACCCTCTCGGTCACACGCAAGTGTTGTGAAAGAGGAAACCCTCTCGGTCACACGCAAGTGTTGTGAAAGAGGAAACCCTCTCGGTCACACGCAAGTGTTGTGAAAGAGGAAACCCTCTCGGTCACACGCAAGTGTTGATGTTAATGTTTGGGATATTTGAGTATTTACTTTTTTTTCCTAGTTTGTTTAAACAAATAATTTAACTAAACTGAAAATAAAGCCGTTTGTTGTTTCATTCGTAAAATACATTTTATTGGTTTTTTTACATCTTTTGAGTCTCTCTGAACTTTTTGTTGTGTATAATGAATCCATAAAACAGTATACTCTAAAATTTGTAATGCCATGTTTTCTTTGGAGCAAATATTCTTGACAGTTGTTCATTTGCAGCAAGCATGCACTTATGGTAAAAAGAAGAAAAAAAAACTGTACAGAGACTGGGAACGCTTTTCTATGTGCTAGTCTTTGTAGTCATGTTTTAACCAGTTATTGATCAAATACCTTTTGTATCCTCTGTTTATTATCAGTTTTTAAACACACAACAAGTTAGATGTTAAAAACTTTAACTCTTTCATTACAAAACCTCGCTAGACATCGGGAGTTCCGGTGGTATTAACTTTGGATGCAGGGAAGTTATAACTAAACTTTATTTATTAATTAATTTCTGTTAAAAGAAGTTTGTAATGGTTTAGATTTTACTTTTGTTACCCAGGTATGCTCAATCACGAAGCCATGTCAAGCGATATGTTCTTCCTAGTGGCAATACTGAAGATAGCCAAGAGTGGAGAGGTCAGCCTGCAATTAGACAGAGAAGGTCTGGGCTTCTAACAGTCATAGAGAAACAACCAGGTGTGTACTAGTGTAGATCTGTATTGAAACAACCAGGTGTGTACTAGTGTTGATCTCTATTGAAACAACCAGGTCTGTACTGGTGTTGATCTGTATTGAAACAACCAGGTCTGTACTGGTGTTGATCTGTATTGAAACAACCAGGTCTGTACTGGTGTTGATCTGTATTAAAAAAGTGTTAAAACTTGATCATCTTCAGACATTTTTGTTTAAAAGTGAACTGTTATCATGATGTCTTTTTAAACTTAGTGACGCGGCGAGCAAGTGATGGATGTCCAGCAGTCAGTCCTCATCGCTTGGAGCGACTTCATAATCAGTGTGGGGTTAGCAGCCAGTCGTCATGTGAAGGTTTTCCCACAGTGAAAGCATTACAACAGGAATATCAACAGCTACAGGTAGTGTAAAAGTCTTTCAATAAAGTCTAGAGATACTGAGGATAACAAATGTATTGTATTGCTGGTGCTGTCTTTTCTAGTTATTTGTTTTTAGATGTTAGACTTAAAAGACGTCACGTTGCAGATGCGTATTTAATCATCATACCCAACAGTAATTAACTAGAGTACTGACCACTATTGATGACGATAGCCTAACTGATTATGTAGGCCACTAACCACTATTGATGACGATAGCCTAACTGATTATCTAGGCCACTAACCACTATTGATGACGATAGCCTAACTGATTATGTACGCCACTGACCACTATTGATGACGATAGCCTAACTGATTATGTACGCCACTGACCACTATTGATGACGATA